CGTCAAGAAGCTGGTTGGCCCTCGCCCCAGCCCTGCAATAAAACACGATGTACACAGATTTCTTGCTTTTGCATGCAAGGAGCAACCCAAATTGTCTTCTTTTTTCTACCCCATTGACGGACCTTCTACAGATTACCCGGGGTTAGGTCCTTATGTTAATTATTTCACTGTATTCTATCCAGACCCACAAGGGCAGGCTTTATTATTACCCCTGGTTTTACAGGTGCAGGGGGAAAAGACCTTTTCCTCCTCTGACCAGCAAGTACTTGGTTTGGGGTGGTTCCAACCTTGCGACATTCCTCCCTCCACATCTTGGTGCTGTGGATTCAGCAGCAGCAAACCGAAAGGACAGAGTAGAATTGCCCCATAGGAATTTTAAGGCTGTAATCTTTATGGACTCAAACATGCCAGTTGTGAGGCCAGCACAGATGGGCCCGTGTTTTGTTCTGTCGTACATAGGGATGCCATGCCTTGGAACTGACTACGCAGCACCTAACAACCGTTCTTATGGAAAGAGTTCCCCCCCACTTCCCCAGGGGGCTGCTGGGTAAGTGTTGGACTGCTCACCCCAAGGCCAGAGGCTTTAACCCACCAGCTGCTCCACAGGAAAAGGTTACGGCTATCCGCTTCCGTAAAGATGTCGAGCCTCTGGAGAGCTATATAGGGTCACTGTGGCTCCCAATGGACGTGGTGGCAGTGGAGTCTCTTTGGGAGCAGAAGAGCTGGAGATTTTCAACAGCAGCCAAGTACTTAACCTGTTCATGACCGAACTACTTTCTGCCTCGTGTAGTTTGCTGATTCCATGTGTTCTCAGTAACGGAAGGGAAGACACATAGATTTGTATTCAATCATGTAGGACGCATTTGTCCCAAGTGGACTCGTCGGATTAGTGGAGGGGCCCATCCTTCGGATTCATGCTGTTCTGTAGGTTTCCATCGAGGCCTGGTGACGTGGTGCTTGCATGCTAGATGGTCAACCCCAAGGCCAGCAATTGAAACCAACCAGCTGCTCAAAAGAAAAAGATGATACCGTCTGTTCTGGTAAAGATTTCGTCTCAGAAACTCTAAGGAGTTGTTCTACTCTGCTCCATAGAATTGCTGAGTCAAATGGACTCCGTCTTCAGTTTGGGCGTTTTTGTGTTTTTGTATATAGGATCCTATCCAGTGGTAACAAAGATTACAGCAAGAATTAGCATCCTCTTAAGAAACCTGAGAGGCTGAAAATGATGGTAGGTGATATTTATCCCGTAGGCCATGAAAAAATTAACAATTTTGCTCAAACCCAAACCAAACTCACTAACATTGAGTTGATTTTGCCGCACAGTGAACTTACAGGACAGAGTAGAACTGCCCCGCTGAGTTTTCAAGGCTGTGAATCTCCTTGGGAGCAGAAGCCTCATCCTTCTCCCTCCGAGCAGCTGCCAGTTTGAACTACCCAGTAATAGCCCGATTGGTAAGCCCTGGCGGTGTAGTGGTTACACCTTGGTCAGCAGTTCTAAACTAACAGCAGCTCTGAGGGAGAACGATGAGACTGTCCACCCTGAAAGCAGTTACAGTCTCAAAAGCCACAAAGGGTTGCTGTCAGTCAGCATTAACTTGATGGCAGTGAATTTGGTGGCTAACATAAGGTGACCAGATTTTAACACTGGTAAAGCAGGACACCATTAACGGGGGTGGGGGGCTGGGGGTGGTGGTTCTTGATGAAAAATTTGGTCTATATCATTTTGCCGCCACTATAAAATATCAATAATATGAGTACTGTCTGCTAAATTCAAGAAAATTTATGTATTTATGAAATAAATAAATTACTTACCTAAATTATCTGAATAGCTGATTT